CAACGCAGCTCGCGGCTTTATAACAGATACGAATATCAATTTTATTGGAGACCGTAGCAACGTTTTAATTACGAATAAATGGTAATCGGAGCGGTACAAAACATCCACCGGACTATAGGAAATAAATCCGGGCGCAGATACAATCGTCGTGTCTCCGAGGAGAACATGCTCTCGATTGAAATAGCAGAGCCCGGTCGCAAAGTAACCGCAAAGCGCCGGGGCCGTGTCGCCGATGGAATCGCCCGGGTAATCGCCTGCTTTTCAGTACCCTATCGGAATATTGTAAATTGTCCTCGTTGTTAAAGAGGCGAAAGGACTCGCTGAATTCATTAACAAAAACCGTACTGTCGGGAAATCGCTAATGTGGATCTTTCCCGTGCTGTGTTTTTTCTTCGCTAACTATATCCCATGGAAATTATTTAGGGGAATTGTTGAATGAATTTTATTTTGTGAGACAATTAAAAATCTTCGTCGATTTAATTAATATAGAATCACTCGATTAATAGCCTATAAAATAATCCAAACAAAACAGGTAGCTATTAATTTGATATAAAGATAAATTTTAATTTGGAATCAGTATTTAAAAAACCTACATCTTTCTGATATAATCATTGCTCCCATTTCTTTATAAAAATTAGCAATAAAATCAATGAAAAAAAAGTATAATTAATCGAACCTCTCTAACAATATCGCATAAAATATTCCAAACAACACAGGTAGCTATCAATAAGATAGAATTTTAATAATTTCCATACCAACTTTGATCGATTATTCCGCGTGATTTCTGGGTCAATGATTTAATTGCGAATTATTCCAATCGATAAACTACATGTTAAAACCAGCGTCTGGACCGCCATTGTGCGAATATCTTCACACATGCTGCCGTTACGGGTTATTCGGTTACAATATAAAGCTGTCACACGAAAAAAAAACGGGTTTCCTTACAATGCCTTGTATTACGGGCGAATTTGGCCGTCTAATAACGAGCATCAGATAATCGTCGAACCAAAAAACCATCGTTTATAATGAATATCACAAAGTGTCAAGCATCCCATCAAGAAAATCTGGATTAAAGTTTTATAAAACACCCAGCCGCGTTGCCACATCTTACTAAATTTACACTAATTATCCAACTCTATACCCCTTTTAGAAACTTCAATATTAGATTTCTTACACAGAATACTTACTAATGCCTTAAATTTGTGTATTTAAAGTAAACAATTAATAGAAAATTGTATATAAAATGAGTGAATTAAAGCGTTTAGGCAACAATGCTGGAGGATCGGTGTCAATGAAGATGATTCCTCTCGGTGACCGGTTATTGTTAAAGTCCCGAGCGCATTGTGTTAGATGCGACAGGCCGATCAATCTGGCCGAACTGGTTTACTTTGCGCGAGATAATTTAATACGGACTCATTTGAATCCGGCGAAAATGCGGAGGCCGGACTTGTACGTCTTAAATTACAGCACAATTGCACGAGATTGGCGAATGCATCTGCATAACTTGGAGGCCGATCGGGCCCGGAGATATATCCAGTTTTTTTCCCGGTTTCTGTTTGTTTTTCGAGCGCGTTGAAAGGTCGCTAAATGGGGAAACAATTCGTTAGTCGTTTCTATTTCTTAATTACGATTACGCAAATATAGCCGTTAAACGGTTTTTTATTTTATTTTATTTCGTTCCTCTTGTATAATAATTTATAATAAACGCAAGATTCTAGTAGGTGTAAAATTTAATTATAAAAATACCAATAAATTTCGATCCTTAAACGAGGAGGAATCGCGTAGGAGTCGAGGAATCGAATAGAAAAAAAAACACATACTTTAATTAATTAAACAACGATAAATTTATCATTTGCGTTATTAAAATAGTTTTAATCCGTGAACGTACAAATAAGGATGATCACGAGAGCAAAGGAACCCGCTGAGACTCAGTTATATATCAAACAGTTTGCGTTTTGGGCCGGATGAAATTTATTAAAATTTCGAAAAGTTCGGACGCCGTTAGAAATGGAGTTCGATGGAAATGATTAACTATTCGGAGGCGAAATCGGGGAAGTAATTTATTGTTTTTCGATTTTTATACAATGCGTAGGAGCCGTTGATTTGTAGAAAAAATTTACAATACCAGTAACAGTTAAATAAAAAAAATGGTTTGCACGAGCTGGAGCCGGTCCTGTTTTCATCTCAGTTAGCAGGTGAACGTACTGATATGTACATGTAAGTACACAATAGGTAATTTACAACATTCTACGAGAAATTTCAGTTTTTTGTCCATATTAATAAATAACCGAGTTGTTGCTATTGGCCTGTTATTACTATTATTGAAGCATAAGATATTTAATAACGGTTAAACGCGGCCATTATTTTTATTGCGAATAAAACCAGCATTAAACTTTATGCTTCAATATCGAACACTAAAAATAAATTAAAATTTCCATTTGGAGACTTAGCCCAGTAAATCAGCCTTAAACGCCACTAAACCAAACAAACGCCGCGCAATTAACGAATCGCATCAATTCCACGGGGGATAAAAATAAAGAAACAAATGTACAGGAAGAAATTAACACTTGCCGTCGATGCAAAAGTATTTTATTGTCCGGTTTTATCATCTAACCGTAAATTTACGAGTGCCACTGCGGCGCTCCTTTCCCTTAACAGCGCAGCATAATAAATAATAGAAGACATACGCAACAAGAGAAAGCTGACCAGATATAGAGAGGCACCTGCTCTAACGGAGATTACAATTACACGCGCATATTACATATTTTACTATTAGATCAATTATTATTAGGTAATATCGATTCGCGTTGCGTAATACACTGGCCGTCGAAATTAGCGAAACACTTTTTTTTTGGAGCTCTATAAAATTCGCTATAGCAGAGATAGAGGTGTGAAATTTTTAACAGAAATGGCTTAATGTCTTGTGTTGGGGTCTACAAAGTAGCAGCATTCCCATTTATTTCCAAAGGTTCGAATTATCTCTTATTTGAATGAGGGTCTATATATGACTTACTTTACTCCAGTTCTAGACTTTACAGCAGCCTTTTCCTAACTCTAGGGATGCTCCTTAGCAAAAATATGTTACCTACTACATTTCAAAAGGGTAGCATTTAACCCAGAATGTTTCGTTTTTGTACTAGGTACCATTGGAGTTTAGTGGTGTTGATAACTATTTTGAGGTCTCCATGATAAGATACGAATACTATAGCTAAATTCATAGGGTTTCAGATAAAAAGTGAGCGAAATATTTTGGTCGAACAGTGTACATTTAAAAATCGTGAAAAATCATATACACCCTCCGTTCGGAACGTTTGAATTATCGCCTGTCGAACATCGAATTTCAATAACAGGGAGTGCTCCTCGTCGAAACCCAACGTACGCTTCGAATTCGGAGAGAGTTATGCGCCGGATTGTTAGAACAAAACGACGTAAAACAAGCCGGAAGCGGTCCCGGAGGGCTCGTGCCGCTCCGGGCCGGTTCTTCGGCCGCAAAATACGAGTGCTCCGGGAACGGGCGCTGCCGCGGAAAACGATGCGCGCTGGGAACGGCAATTTTTTAATAATTGACTGGCGTCCGGTGGAAAATGAATTACAGTTCGAAACCCCTATAATGTAGCCGATGTTATGCGGTTATGGAAGATGCAGCTATGCCATGGGAATATAACGCGCCTCGAATTCGGAACGGAATTTTCCCTTCGAACATTCCCCAATCGCGCCACTAAAGCATATTGCTAAAAAAAATTATTCTTACTATCTTAATATATCTTCCAACAAACTATATAATGAACATTATTTCTAAAACACAACCTTCCCTTGTATCCCGGCATTCCTTCCATCCAGCGAGATCTGATATCGAAACCGGGAATGAATCAGTTTATTTTAGGTTCACCTAATTGCGCGAAGGAAGCTCTCGGGCGCCGTGTGGGGCCGTGGAAATCGAACAGAATGCATGTGCGTAAGGTTAATGAGAGGGCCGACCGGCGACCCGATGGGTCGGCCTGAGAACCTCATTATGGGGCCCCGCGTTTCGATGTTACGCCGACAGATTTAGATGCTCCGGCGACACCGGGAGCCTCTTTTAGAATTCGTTAGATTTTTAGGAGTCATTGTTGGGATATTTGGTTCGAATGTTAGTTAGTTGGTATATTGTGAGTGGTTTCTAATGCATTTAAGCTTCTCGACTTTACCGGGATTCGATGGAAAAACGCTCGTCAATTAGAGTGGAAGTCGAAGGAGAACGCCAATACTCGAAATCCATCCATTAAGTTACTTGACAGTCGAGAGCGGGATGCTCGCGAAGTAATTTGTAAGGAATATTGAAGAAAGTACACAAAAAGTTGATGACGTGTGTATAAGTATTTTCTCTCAAACTCGTTAAATTACTTTCTTTTTAATTACCGCAAATTGTTCAGAGAGCTAATAAAAATTGATAAATCTCAATGCAATGGAAACGCAAAGTATTTTCTAACAAAAACAGTGAAAATAATTTTATGCCGAGGACGACCTTAAACCGCGAAGGCATAAAAACGGCATAAAATCACTAATCGTAAAGTTATCTTTAACGAGAAGGATTATATCGGTGGCTCGAATGCTATTTATAATATTTTAATTGCCCGGTAAATAGCGTAAAAATGATTCTGTGTTAGAAAATTATCGCAATAATAACCAGAAAATGTTAATTACGCTGCCGATCGCATTATGCAATTCTCAACAGATGACAGAAATGCAGTTTATATATCGCCGTAAATAGTGACATAATTCCGTGTAGAATCTATCTCATATGCATAGAAAATATTTATATGCATACTGGAATAACCTTATATGCCATACAATACGCACTTTGTTCTACTATATTTCATTTCACAATAATACTTATTTTTCTACCTACATTTTTTTCTATTAGAAAAGTTTGTATAAATATGGAGAATTAGGAAATTCATTACAAATTTATTCATATTTAAAATAATCCCTTAAGATTAGTTTATTCTACAAAAACTCACCGCATACTCATGTCTATCGGGATGTACTCCTTCTCTTCCACACACGACCCCTGAAAATTTAATATAAAATTATTTACCGAAAAACTGCAATAGATTTTTTTAATCAAAATATATCAATTTTTTCATAATTATGAGGCATTAAACTACAGGACATTCTGTATGGTCAAATCGAGTATATTAAAATAATTAAATTGGCCAGTAAATAGAGATTTTAAAAGTACTTCACCATTTCAACGCACTAAAGGTAACAATGCTTTCAGAGCATAATAAAAATTCACAAATAAGTATCTGCCGCGTGTGGGTAAAATATTTCGAGAATTATTCAGTACATTATTTATTTAATATTGCAGAAATCGGGAGTGCTTATCAAATTATAAACATTCGAATATTATTTGATAAAGAATTTTCACTACCTTTTGTATCGACAAGAATTTTTATTTTATTTATTTACATTTACATTTATTGACCAACGTAAATTTGCGTTTATTTCGGTTAAAATGTACAGCAAAATTTAATAACAATACATTTATAAAATAATTAAATTTCATGTATACCTAAATAATTTAGATAATGTACCTAACCTATGTTATAATCTATTATATTCGAGCCCTTTCTTATCAACATAATATAGTTTATTTAACAATGTAAACAGACAATGCTACGATATCAATCATATAACTTGCAATATGTCACACAATATATACAGATAATTTCGATAAGTACAGTTTTCCACTCAAAAAAAAAGAATATCGGAAACACACATAAAATATTCATTTTAATCGAATATTGTTAGATATTCCAGACTGTCACGTTAGTGATTACGTTAACGTGAAACGTCCGCTGCGTCCGATGAATGAATTTACCGGGGACAAGGTAATTGGAGTTATATTTTACAATTTGAGCCGGCCATAAATCCTCCGCCTATGAAAAATGTATGAGAAGCCTGCGATAAAACGCCGGACATGCAGGCGCTCGAAGAATGAGTTTAATTTCAAAGTAAACTCCCGAGCAGAAGACCCCAAAAGAAAAAAATTAAATTCAAAAAGGACGTTTCGCATCTAACCGGCCACTTTTAACCTGTATCTTTTTTTATGGCGAATTAAAGTTTCATGCCGTACGGTATTTCTAATCGAATTATTTTAGAATGATATTTAGGTATAGAACGCTCCCCTCGTTCGACATACGAAAATCTTATTTCCGATTAAAAAAAAAAATAACCCGTGTAATATTTTCAGAGGCGCTTCCAAACCCCCTCATATACAGTTTTAGGGTTGCAGTTCAATAAGGGTAGCCAATAAATATCGATTAGTAACTAATTATATTATTTAAGTTAGTATTCAGATTGTTCAGGACAGTTCATTTAGTTCAGAATCGTCCAGAATCAATTAGAACTCTCCAAAACCTTTTATAGAACTGTTCTCTAAAAATCTTGCAAAATTAACTAAAAAATGGCCAAATTGAATATGAATTAATGTGTTTATTCTATGTTGATTAGATTCTAAAGTAATTTAGATTAATAGAATAGAATCTCGCGTTATTTAATCGAGGTCAAAATATAGTGTATGAAATTAAATTTTTCGAGTACACCACTGCCTTATTGCAATAATGCATATAGTAGAGAGATATGACATGACAGAAGACCCAATATTCTTTCAATCAGCACAAAACATTTCTCTCGACGTTCGAAAAACGATTTCGAATTGCCTAGTAAAAACCGTCACAGTAGGAATCGGAAATAATGCAGGAAAATGACAATTACGGAGATCGAATTTTTTTATCCAGCTTTGCGCCCCGTACGCCTGCAACCTATATCCATAGATATTCGAAGAAACGTCGACTTTTTTTATAGTTAATTGACCGGGAAATGGAGTCAGGTCCAACGCTGTTCTCGCCCTGCCAGCATCCAGAGCTCGAATATGAACTAACAATCGGTAAATAATCATGTAACGTGCATGTAAATCCCCCAATAAATACTTTCATTTCCTAACAATCGAGTGTGTTAACTTTTACCACATTTCTCTGTTCTCTGTGGGTCGATCGCCTCAGGGCGAACGTCTCCGAGTCCTTTTATGCAAAAACTCCGGTTCATTGTCCAGACATAACGAGGTTAAGGATGAGGAAAACAATTTTTACCTCCTCCGTAGAAGCCTATTTTGAACCAATAAAACATCCGGTGCGTAATTTATGCGTTTTTTTTTTCGCATTCACAATGCATTATTTTATTATATCGATTCCGATAAATGCGCCTGTCTTTTATATTTCGGTTCAATGAGTTCGATAAACGCGTTTTAACTGAGCTATCGTTAATGGGAAGTAATTGAGTTGAATGGAGGCCTCTGTGCTGCAACTCGACAAGGAGCCAATTATGCAAGAAGGTTCGCATTATGGGAGTTTGAAGAAAACGCTGTCATCGGTCAGTTGAAATTTTAATTGAAAAAAAAATAAGTTCGAAAAGGAAATTAGAAATCAAACAATGCGCTGAACCCCGCTTTTGTGCATCGAGGAAAGTGAATTGTTTCGCACGAATCGAGCGAATTCTTATCGTATATCTGTCATTTTGTTTGATTAGTCGGCCGAGAAGAATTAGAAATTTTCTGCTTTTCCACATAACCGGTGGATCACTTTCATTTTCGATTCAGCCGGATTTACGGCTTCCATCGTAAAATTGCGCTTTTACATGTTCAAAAGTAGCAACGAAAAACCTACGTGATAACGGGCAATTAGAACTTCTCGGCAATTTTCAAAGTAATAGCTTAATTTTTTCCCCGTAGAACAATCCACACGAAACGTTGAAAAAACGGACGTTGCGCTAAATTCGGTTTTAATGTTAAACTAATTCGACGTATAGTTAAATCATTCGAGAGTTAAATGCGTGAGGTCAGGACTATAATTTATGTTTCTCGAAGCAAAGCTTTGTTATTTATTATTAATACGCGAACGAAGAAACCGAATATTAAGGATCGTTGGAGAGAATTTATCTAATAAAATACCAATTGTACATAATCTACTAAAAATAACGATACTACAAATAGTAATTACATCTAATTAACAAACGTCCTATTAATATCTGATATAATTTACATGTGAATTGTGTTACCAATATCCTAATTTATACATTCTGAAAAAAGCTTCCATGCCGCCTTAACGAAATACAACAAAATCCCAGACTACAAAACTATTTTGAAACGTAACGGTCGGCGTTATAGTGTTAAATATTAACGCTTAATTCATTTTTACTGTGTGAAAATCTAATGCGCCGGGACGATTAAAATATTTAATTACCTCGATTTGTTATCTAAAGGCCGCTCACGAAAGTGGACATCAATAGCGAATTTTACCGTGAGAGAGTCTTCCGAAGATAAGGAAGCGTTCGTGTTTGTGTTAAGAAATTTTTAAATAGCGTTAGTTTTTGATCAAATTTAATTCGATTTGTAATCCACAATGAGCTTACATATGTTTTTTAAAATTATATAAAAAGTATACAGCTCATGACACATTTATTTAACCGTAATTAGCGGCTAGAATTTTTGCGCGAAATTTTATTTTTACATCCAAAGACACGCCCGATTTAATAAAACGTTGGACAGAACTCAAAACAACTTCACAATTGCCATCCATTTTTTTGCTGGCGATTCTTCTCGATCGTGCATTAAAAATTAATAAAAAAGTTACCTCGGTATAATGGAAGATTGCGCCGTTAACTTCTCTATTTGCCGAGCGTTCTGATACACCCAGCTTTTACCTTTAACAAGAGCTAAGTGGGCAATTATACGTTTGATATAAAACCACCGCGTTCGCGTTTACACATATGATTGAAAACCACCAGCTGTTGTAAATTCGTTGGTAAGGTGTTTTTCGGTCCGAACCGATAATTCGACGCGTTTTTTTTCTTGAACTTCTCCGCGAAAATTAATATACTTATCACGGTGTTGCGCGTACGAACGTGTTGTAATAAATGACCCGTTAATGTGGGTAATTTACTTTTTCGCCGCGATTCCGCAAAACTATCAATTACCTGGAAACGGGACTAAATTCGAAGGAAGAAATAACGAAATTTTGATAAGATTTATTATACAGCGCTTGCAGTATGCTAATAAGTGCTGCATCAGGAAAATTGCGCGGATAAAATAAAAGAGACATTACGAAAATGCCCCGATGAGGCGGCACTGAATTAAGTCGAGAAAACGTCCATATAGCGGTAGGAAAAAAATCTACAATCAACAGTCGATAACTCCGACCAGTTCTACATTAAAAGTAGAGGTAAACACCGGTATAGAAATCGAAAAAAAGAGGGGAATAAAAAAGCCACACATCCGTTCGCATTCTGCGACGATCGAAGCTGTTTTAAAAAAACAATAGAAAATCTTCTAGCAGGTCCGGAATTAAACGCAATTTTTTTTTCTTCCAATATAATTATCGGCAAAAAAGTATTCTTTATCTATGTTATAATGAAGCTTTAACCGACATTGATTGATTAGCGATTTTTACGGCAACAAATCATTGTTTTTGATGGGTAAAAGTTTGTCGAAAAAATTACGATTTTAGATGAAGAATTTTTGAATTTTTGTATGAAGAATTTCTTCAAAATTGATCGTAATGTTGTATACAAACATTATATTTCCATTAATCCAAGATACTAAATTTGTAGAGCACATCCTCCTAATATCTCTATCACTACATTTAATCTCTCCCCTTTTCATTCAAAATCTTCTCTACAGAGTGACACTTTTAATTTGCATTTTTTTAATAGTTGGCTTTAAATTCTTCTAATTCGAAATCGAGGACCTAGAGGAAAAATCCGATTCCGGTCCTGCGGATGCGGCATCAAAAAACAATAGGAAAATCTGCGAAGGTAAGCAGTCGTAAGTATCATACATAATGCATTTAGTAACGTAGCTGTTAGAAGAATTGCTGGTGCATCGAGTCCGACCGGAACAGTAAGATTATTAGATTGCCATCCGATCGGCCGATCGTGACAAGAATGATCCACTGGACTCACCTTGCCCTTAGATATATATACTCGCTCCGACCCAAAGAACTAAGAAACACGAAGAAATGATCGCAGAAACTATAATACTTGTAGCTGATTACTGAAGGATCTAATTTAGTTTACCCAAAGAAGTAAGAAACGCGAAGGAATGATCTTATCCTTTATAACAACATGGAACAATATAGAAAAAGTTGTTTTATATAGAAGGTAGTTGTAGGTAATTAGGGTAGAACCGAATTTACTTTTATCAACAAGAAAAATCTACCGGTTATGTCGTTTTATAACAGTCGT